TCTTTGTGAAGGAAATGAAAGTTATGGTTAGGCCTAGTGATAGTGATAAGCATCGAGCTTAAGGCATTCTTTTCTTATCTTTTTGGGTTTATAATGGCTTTGCTATTGCATTTTCTGGAAAAATGGCTCCTTTTGTGTAAATTTGCAGTTGTTATTTGCTACACCCAAGAACAGTTAGGGCCCGGTGTGTGAGAGCCATTTTTAACTTGGGTTGTAGTTACTGTTTTTCTGCACTAGATGGAGGAAAAACCATGGAACTCACGAGGCCAGGCGCCTTACTTACGAGGGCACTGTCCTTCCTTGGTCAAAGAAAATGGTTAAATTGAACAGACTTGCATCCACGATCATGTGGAGATGGTTCCAAATGCTTGCTCACTGGTCGGCCGAACCAGGAGGCAGCGGGAGAACAAACTAGATCAGGAAGTGATTCCTGTATTTATCAAAGCCAGAATATTCCACTTGCGACTTCAGACTGGTGGGCCGCTCAGTTGGGACTTTCCTGCATGTTTTATGAACACAGGTGATTTGTTTAATTTAGTGATGAATCACTCCTCTAGACACTAAGGAAGGCTGAAGAGATGTTTCAGCTGTTAGATTAAGGTGTTAGAAAGACGAACGCACAGCGAGGAGATAGGTTTTGCTTTTGGTTCTACAAACGGACAATTCGGGGTGCTAAAAACAAGCCAGTTCTGGCAGTTCAATACAAAAGATCTGGGCCATTCTGTGTCTGACAAAAACATGTTCACTATAAATAAAACAAATATCTCATTAGGACCTTAAGAAGCAGATTTACTGTCTAAAGCAGCGGTTCCCAAACTTATTTAGACGCGCACCCCCTTCTATGTCCCAACCATGTCGACGCAACCCCCAGCCCCCACATCAGGGCATGGCTATATATATATATATATATATATATATATATATATATATATATATATATATATATATATATATATATATATATCAGACATCAAGCTAAACAGTCACTCGACAGACAGGGTTAAAAAAATATGATCAACCTTTTTCCCCATCACTTTCATTTTTATGTTTATGGATTATGTATTTTTTAAATAGTGATTAATAAACATTCAACTGCGGACTGGAATAACAAATGCTGCAGTAACATGAGTTGTGGTCAGGTTCATGAGGAGTCACTGGCTGGAGCGGACTCGATTTTAATACGTCATCCCAAAACAGAAGCTAATATCTTAATTTGACCTGGAATGAAAAATGTTATAAAACCTCTTAAAAGTTTTTATCACGGAGGAGGCAGCACTCATTTCTGCCTTCAGTCTGACGGCACAGCGCAGCGTGCGCTTGTTGAATGTGTGTGTGTGTGTGTGTGTGTGCGGCACAGCTCCATGAGCCGCTTCAGGCGCTATTTAAACCAATGTTGTAAAATTACTTCTGCCCAGCCCAGATGTGCTCACTTGTGCATCTGTGAGCCGTGGTTCCGCTGGAACGCGTCTGACCTCTGACAGACGCACTCTGAACTTCAGATCTTCAGCGCGCTGTTAATAGCCCGACACGTTTAGAATGCTGTCCCACAGTCAGTGTGCTAATATAATAATATAATAATGCTAAAATGCTCAGATGGGAATCATTTCCTGATTTATTTAGTTACATCCACAATGTTCTGTGTGTGAGGTTTACAATGTCAGAACACCTGCATGAGACGGTGTTAATTACAATCTGCCAGAATGACTCACCTTCAGATTCCTCCAACATCATTAAAAATGATCAAATACGGAACATATCTTGCTATAAACAGCGTGCGCTGGCCAGAATGCTGAAGCTTGGAGCGCATTATTATTATGAAGCTAGGGCACATGCGGAGGACACAGACACACACACACACACAAAAGCAAAATATACTTGTTTTCAATTGCATTTATTGGGCCCAATTACTTTTTCTTAGGCTCACCCACAAATGAGTTTCAGCCTACGCTTAAGGTTACATATGACAGACTTCTCTGAGCTCCGCAGCCATTACACTTTTCACCTTGCACACCCCCTAGCGGCAGCTCATGCGCACCACACTTAGGGAATCCCTGGTCTAAAGGATGGATGGATGGATGGATGGATGGATGGACGGACGGACGGACGGACGGATGGACGGACGGACGGACGGACGGATGGACGGACGGACGGTCAAACATGAGGTCATCCAATGTTGTTTTCTTGTATTTTGTGTGTGGTTTTAATCTTCGGTCACTAAGTTAAATCTAGTCAGAAAACCACGAGCTACCCTCATAGTTTTCCTCTGAAGTCATGAACAACATTTGAAATGCACCTTATAATCATTGTACTTTTTTGTTACTCTTTTTTAAACTCACGAGCTGGTGTTTGAGGGTCCTTAGAGAGCCTTCACAAATATTTGTGCTTAAAATACTTTAGTAGAATTTTCTGCTGGTTTTAAAACGTCTGTTGAAATGAAAACACTAATCTCTGCAGATAATCCGTCTTCAAGTACTGATCCTCTAACTCACGTGCAATGATTGTAATACTTTGTGCAGGTCTGTGCTCTGGGAAACTAAAACAAAGTAAGCAAGGCAATCTTAGTTTTAAATGCCTCCATTGTTTTAGCTTTTCAACTTTCTACAGCCCTTTGTTTATTAAAACCTCCGTTTTCTTTCTTTTATTATTATTTTCAATTTGCTCAGCACTTGAAAACCTTTGAAATCAACATCAAAACAACTCAGCATATAATTACTAATCAGTCAGTCTCTATCTGTGGAAAATCTACATAAAGCTTTTACAGAAACTGTCTCTTAGATGCAAACAAGAGCCAGGCTGACCTTGCATTGATCCTGCTGTCTGGAGCAACAACAGACCACAGGGATAATGAGGGGTTTTTATTGCCACTGAGAGAGGAAGTTAGCTAAATGACGGAGAGAAGCACATCTGTTTAAAAGCCCACATATAAAATAACAAAGGAGAGGAAAAGAGTATTGGACACATAGCTGAGTGAAAAGTTCTGATCAGTAAACAGATGTTTTGTGGACCGTAATGAGGACTGCAGCCCTTTTAGATCTCCGGTGAGAGCTGGCTGCTGCGCTGTTTCCATAAAGGGACAACAAATGCTGTGATTCAGAAAAGGTCAGAGATGAACACCCCAAACTCAAGAGTTTCACATGTAGCTTCTCACTTTCATAGTTTAATATTAAAGTGTGTTTTGTTCACAGCTTCAAATTTAAACAAATGCATTGAAATTACCACAAATGCGAGTTGTTTTAATGTGGCAGTAAGCACTTTTGGTCTTGGTTGTGCTCAGATAGCTGTTAGCTTATCAGTCTGAACAGACCTAATCTCTATTTCTCCAAATTGAGGTCATTCAAAGAGCTATCTCACAACATATTTGATAATCGTTTATAACCTTTATACACAAAAACCCACTTCAGATAGTCCTAAGTATTGTTTAAACAATCTGAAAGCATAACCCTGGCTGTACTCGACCACAGCCCATCAAACAGCCAACATTCTTCTAACTGATACTGTCATAGCTGCTCTGTTAGTCCTACATCATGCTCACTGAGTAACTTCAGCAGGTTTTTGAAACAGATCAGTCATACTCAGCTGTGTGAATGAGCTTTAGCCAATCATAAGGACAATGTCTTCTGTATTAGATGGTGAATTTTATTTGCAATTTTCATAGTACTTTAAAAAAATACCATTGGTTACAAATAAGTTGTACAATAAAAGGCAAGTAAAGCCTTAACATGTTTAACATGAAGCAAGCTGCATTTGACAGAAGTGACTCAAACCGCTGCTTCCCTTTAAGGGTTTTATGGCTTCTCTTCTCAGACCTAATGAGCTTGCGAGGACCATGGTGGCAAAAGGGTTAGGGATGTTTAAGGTCAATAAAATATGACAGCCAATTAAAAGCACTAGAGTGGAACTTAAAGGAGTCCAGTTTAAGAAACACCCCAGTTACACTTGCGTTCTTTTAACCTTTCAAATATGGCAGCAGCAGGTTGGTAATGAAGCAGCCAAAGCTCAGCAGATGGAGGCATGCTGATGGTGGAGAGCTGCAGGGGACAACTTTAAAGAAGTAGTAATGTCCCCCTCAGAGTCTTACTCCACCAAAGTATCAATTTTAAAAACTGCAACATTAGTAGGCATTGCCTGGAGGACCAAGAGGGCGGAGCCGCGGCAGTGACGAAGACGATGGCTAACTAGACGATGCTAGCTCCCTTCACTCTGAGCAGTCATTAGAAGTGGAGGACGTTTCTCCCCCTCCTTACCCAGACACTCGAGAAGAAAGGGACCAAGTCTATTTGGAGGAGACAAGCGGACCTGAGCCTTATTGTTTTGAGCTTGTGAGTTGCCTGAAATTACCGGAACCGACCCAACAGAACCAGCTCTGAATGGTAAGTAGCCGTTAGCCATAGCATCAGATTAGCTGCAGGGTTTTGCTCCACAGCCCGAGAGCTAGTATTCAGCATGTTTTAGAGATTTATCTGCTTCAACACACCTGGTTTTAATCAGCAACAAATAGCTGAGCTGCGTAACAGTTAACCTAACCTGTTAAAGCAGGAAAATCCACTGAAACGTGCTGGATAGCAGCTCTGGGCTCAAGCTACAGTCTGCTGCACAAAGTTATGAAAATATCCCATGAGAAAATTATTCTGTAATGTGTTCAGCCCACTAAACTGCCCTGATTTATTTATTTACTGATACTAGCTGCTCTTGGTTGCAGGTGATCCTCTGGTGTCTGCATCTGGTCTCTGCTGGTGTCGTCAGGATCAGGAGCTTCCGGAAGAATGTGCCTTTCAATGACTCTTTCCCCCTTATTTGTTATATTAATTAAATAAATCTCAATTGATATATTTCCTGTTTTTGTTCATGTCCATAAATACTTAAACATGCTTGAAATTAAAACGAGCTTTTAACAGTGAGGTGCTAGTTTAATTCATCACAATAGAGCTAGTTAAACATGCAACAAAAATGTGATAATCAATGTAATTTATAAATATCCATTAAAATATCAAAACTGGGATCAAAATGAGATATTTGGCAGGACAAAAAACTTGTCAAACACAATATTTATTATAATAATTGTAGGCAGACAGGAGACAGAGCTGATGGAGGTTCTCAGTCATCGAAGGATGGCTGAAGGCTTTCCAGGAACAGGAGATGTGGCGTTGTCTCTTCTCTCTCTATTCTGCCAGATGAGCTGATAGGTTACAGGTGTGTGAGGACATCCTCATGCTGTCATAACCAGATGACAGGAGTTATCAGGTGATCAGCCAGGCTAATGATGAGATGCAGAAAGAAAACAAATCCAGGACAGTGTACAGTAATAACAGTAATAATATGTGGTGTTGCTCACCTTATGTGCTCTTATAGAGTTATTAACGTGTGCCTGCCTCATGGTGTAGAGTCCATATTTTGCTGAGTGTCCTGCAATAATGCAGGTTATTAGTTAATTTACCTTTGATAGCAAAGAACAAAATATTTAATGTAAAAGTTATTTACCAGGTGAATCAGCTCACACGTCACCACCAAGTGTCACAGGGCCAGAATCAGTAGCCTCCTTCATGATGTCATGATGTAATCACATACTTGCACTATCACTGAGGTGGAAGCTGGAATCGACAGCAGACACCTCACATCTTGGTCTTTTCAGGGGGTGTGGATGCTGCTCTGGGACCTTCTGGAAGATGAATTTCCATCATGGTCTCTGTGTCACCAGACACACTGAGGCTGTGAGCTCTATAAAAACAAAGAAGCAGCACATTTATAAACGTTTAAAAGAGCATAAAATCACGTGTAACAATCTGTAAAACAAATTAAAACTAGAAGGTAATAAAATGTTTACATAGAAGATTATTAAAAATAATTCACCTTTGCTACGGGTAACACCACGTCAGCCTGGACAAGTGCATTCTTGCAGATTACTAAATCAGTCTGACAGCCAGTGTCTTGGGTAGATTTAGCCTGAAAAAAATATATAAGCACATTGTTGTTGTTGTTTATAAAGTCAGATAATATACAAAAGAAACTGTCCTATATAGGCGCTTTATAACATTCCTAGTGTGTGATGTTATTGTAACGTAAAAGTCAGTCACATATGATGCGGAGAGCCTGAAATGCGACCTCCTGAACAGAATTCCTCACGGAACCGGGTCACGCTGTGCTGGATTTCACGCTGTAATGCTGTCTGTCAGCTAGTGCCGCATTAGTTAGAGTCACTATTGCAGAATTGCCGACTGACACAAAAGCAACCCGAATTTTCTCTGAGCCTGACAGTCATGTGGACCATTTTGTCGGCCAGGGCTTCGAGACATGTTCCGATTCACCGCTGATTCTAACCTTATATCCCGTTCCACATTTTGTGAACTTGACAAATCTGCCCGAAGGCAGTGCAGGCTGATATTAGCTAAATGGAGTGAACCACGTCTCTCAAACTTTGCATTTAGGTAGGGAATTGTCTTTAGAAGATGTTAAAACTTCTATTTAGCTTACTCACCTCAGACTGGAGCCTGTCATGGTGGGGGAGCAGAGTCGGTGGGCTGCATCTAAATCGCGGAAGAGCCACGGTGGGCATTGCCTCCCTCTTGAAACGGAGAAGTGCAGAATCGCGGGTAAAATGCTGGTTGCAAACTACAGCACCAGGCGGGAGCTGAAAGTTTTCCAGACACGCAACCACTGGCGCCTAATTTTTAAGTCCAGCGGAAAGGAGTACAACCCCACAGAGCCACCGCAACCATACTACACTACACCTTCTCACAGCATACTAACACGATATGGAGCACTAAACCTGAACTACTTTCCTAATTACACTAAGAGCCAAACACTAACTAAACTACACTATCCAACAGCCAAGCTTACACTAAATAAGTATGTATAACACTAAAGGCTACGCTAAAGACTAGGATATGCTAATGCTATATGCTAATGCTGAACTACGGCTAACCTCCTACACTCGCTTGCAAATCCAACTCCCAACTCGTCACAAGGCGTGGCCGAGACGCTCGTTGCTTTTATAACTTTGACAAAGAGCTGCTACGTAGTACTCTACTGGTTTACGTAGTATCTTACTCTTTAGCCATTGGCTAAAATTTATTCAAAATGAGTCAAATTCTATGTTTTAAGCTGAAGGTGGTGCTATACTGTGGTATTTAGGCAGAGTTTTTAATTTTTAAAGAAAATGCACCCAAATGCTAAAATAATGAATACACACATTTAAAACACTATTAGATGCTCATTTATACAGTTCATCAGCAAAAAAAAGAAGTTAATTTAGACGTTACTTGCTCGTTAAAAGAGCAGATGAGGAGTGTTGTGGACGGTGGAAGCTGTGCTTGTAAACTGGCATGTTTATGTGGTCTGGCTTGTTTGGACTGGTGTTGTAACAAAGAAAATTTACTGTGGCTTTGTTGGTGTGTTTCACACAGTCAGCCTGGGAAATGTGACAAAAGGTAAAACTTAGTTGATGTTGGTTTGTAGTAGAGCAGCAAGTGAACATGTTTCTCTGGCTGTAAATGTTCTATACCACTACAAAAGTGACAGACTTCAGCTTAATCTAATTACCATTATCACTACTATTAATAATAATAATAATAATGCCTGATTAGATTTATACAACGGTTTTCAAGGAAATGTGCTTTCCATTATTCATACTTTCACAAATTCCCAAACTGCCAGTGATGGTAAACTACTTTGTTGCCACAGCTGCCCTGGGGGATAGTCTGACAGAGGAGAGGCTACCATGTTGCACCATTGCCCCCTCTGACCACTAACATTACCATTGATTGATTCAACAACAACAAAAAAACAGAAAAAAACATATATGTAGCATATTTGATATGTCTGACATGTCAGGAGGGACTGTCTCTTGGGATGTCTCGATCTGAACACGTGATCAAAAATCTGTCCTGATCACGTGTTTTCAGACTCGATCGGAATCGGGTGTTACTTCCCGATCTGGACTTGGATACAGGGTTACAAGAGAGCTAAGGGGAACTATTCCTCTCCTAAAAGGTTGTAGGGCTCCCCTGAAGCTCTCAACTAAACACCCAGAAGGAGCCTGAAAAAAGATCCAGTGTCTACCTATATTGTATTTTTTGTAGATTTCCTTTTTCAACCTTCGGAATACTGCTAAGATTAGAAGCATACTTTCCGGGAGTGATGCTGAAAAACTAGTTCATGCATTTATTACATCAAGACTGGATTACTGTAATTCATTACTCTCAGGAAGTCCACAGAATGTAGTTAGAAGTCTTCAGCTTGTCCAAAATGCTGCAGCTAGAGTTCTTAGCTTCCCTACATTGGCTACCTGTTAAATTCAGAATAGATTTTAAGATCCTTCTTCTCACATATAAAGCTCCATCATACATCAGTGATCTGATTGTTCCATACGTTCCTAACCGAGCACTTCGCTCTCAGACTGCAGGTTTACTGGTGGTTCCCAGAATATGTAAAATTAGGATGGGAGGCAGATCTTTTAGTTATCAGGCTCCTCTCCTGTGGAACCAGCTCTCAGCCTTAGTCCGTGAGGCAGACACCTTGTCTACTTTTAAGACTAGGCTTAAAGCATTTTTATTTGATAGGGCCTATTGTTAAAATCTGATGTTAGCCTAAATCTGGACAAGTGGGGGTGTAGAGCAGGGGTGGGCAATTATTTTTTCCATGGGGCCACATGAGAAATGAGAAACAGAAAATATTGTGGAGGGCCAGGCCAAAAGGCTGAAGTCAATTATGCATAATATTAATGGTATTTCTTTATAAAAAGCAGTAAATACCATTGTTTTTTCAAGCTGGCAAGAGTAGACTATATGTTATAAATGAGCAAAAAGGAAAAAGTGAGGCTGGCTTACAAAAATGTGATTTATTCAAATTTCCCAAGGCAATGGTAAACAAAGTGTGCACATTTGGTTTTTGTTAAACATTTGTGACTTATATTAGTTAACAGTTTCAGTCGCATTCACTCCAAAACACATTTTGAGTTTCAAATATTGTTGGAACGAGGTTCTTAGCATTCTACAGACACACAGTATCGTCTGTAAAATAAAATCACTGAACTGTGATCTTGAGAAAGAGGTTTAAAAAAAACAGTATCACAGTTCACTGCTAGTTGCCTACATTTTTGGTCCAAACACCTTATTTCGTGTTTTTAAGCGATTTTTTTCTTAGTCAGTGAGAGAAATCTAGGGTGTGTCCGAATCCACGGGAAGGATGCTTATGATTACGGGTCCTCGCCGGTCTAGCAAGGCCGGGTCCTTGCTAGACCGCTAAGACCGGAACCCAGCGGCTCTGAATTCGGACAGTCTAGCCTTCACCTCTACGGTGGCCCGTAGGTCCCGTCACAGCCGCGGTGGAGGCTACACGCAAAAGAAAAATGCTAAAGCTAGCGAAAATCGAGCAGGAATATTAAGGAGCTAGAGCAGCTTCACGTCCATCAGCAGCGTTTGTTCACAACCGTTTTCAGGTAAAGTAATTTTGTTTATTCTAGAAGCTTTCAGGACTTACATGTTAACTTTAGATGGTTTCATGTATGTTTTAAGCTACAGAATGAACTTGTTAAACATACACAACACATTACTACAGAGTATTATCATGTAGGTAATTAATATAAACAGAATGCATTATAAATGTTGAATGCGGCAGGATGTTTTCTAATTTTATTTGGACCTTAGAATTTCTTATTTAGCATCAAATGAGGATAAAACATTTAAAAAAAACAGGGTTTTTAATAAAATAGCATTGAAGTGTTTTCAGTGTGCATTTGTTTATTCAACTTAAGCCTAATAATGATTAGATCTGTCTTAAAAATGTAAATTCTCTGTAGTTTTTATTTAACTATTCCCTGCTGCTTTTCTTTAAAGAGCAGGTAACGTCTAAATTAACTTTTTTTTGCTGATGAACTGCATAAATGAGTGTCTAATAGTGTTTTAAATTGTTTATTTTAGCATTTTGGTGCATTTTCTTTAAAAATTAAAAATTCTGTCTAAAAACCACAGTAATGCGCCACCTTCAGCTGAAAACATAGAATTTGAGTCATTTTGAATAAATTTTAGCCAATGGCTAAAGAGTAAAGTACTACGTAAACCAGTAGAGTACTACGTAGCAGCTCCGTGCCAAAGTTATAAAAGCAACGAGCGTCTCGGCCACGCCCTGTGGCGAGTGGGAGTTGGATTTGCAAGCGAGCGTAGGAGGTCAGCGGTAGTTCAGCATTAGCATATAGCATTAGCATATCCTAGTCTTTAGCATATCTTTTAGTGTTATAAATACTTATTTAGTGTTAGATTTGGCTGTTGGATATTGTAGTTTAGTTAGTGTTTGGCTGTTAGTGTAATTGGGAAAGTAGTTCGGGTTTAGTGCTCCATATCGTGTTAGTATTGGTGAGTAGGTGTAGTGTAGTATGGTTGCGGTGACTCTGTGGGCATTTTACCCGCGATTCTGCACGTCTCCGTTTGAAGAGGGAGGCTGCCCACCATGGCTCTTCCGCGATTTAGATGCAGCCCACCGACTCTGCTCCCCCACCACGGCGGGCTCCAGTCTGAGGTGAGTAAGCTAAATAAACGTTTTAACATCTTCTAAAGACAATTCCCTACCTAAATGCAAAGTCTGAGAGACGTGGTTCACTTCCTTTAGCTAGTCAGTCGGCAATTCTGCAACAGTAGCTCTAACTAACAGCACAAGTTGACAGACAGCATTACAGCGTGAAATCCAGCACAGCGTGACCCGGTTCTGTAAGGAATTCTGTTCAGGAGGTCACATTTCAGGCTCTCCACATCATGTGTGACTGACTTTTACGTTATAATGATCACACACTAGGAATGTTATAAAGCACCTATATAGGAGATTCTTTTGTATATTATCTGACTTTATAAACTCCCAACAACAATGTGCTTATATTTTTTTTTCAGGCTAAATCTACCCAAGACACTGGCTGTCAGACTGATTTAGCTGCAAGAATGCACTTGTCCAGGCAGACGTGAAGCCTTACCTGTAGCAAAGGTGAATTATTTTTAATAATCTTCTATGTAAACATTTTATTATTACCTTCTAGTTTTAATTTGTTTTACAGATTATTGTTACACGTGATTTTATGCTCTTTTAAACATTTATAAATGTGCTGCTTCTTTGTTTTTACATAGCCAGCCAGAATGGAGTTCACAGCCGCAGTTTGTCTGGTGACCCACGGGGACCATGATGAAAATTCATCTTCCAGAAGGTCCCAGAGCAGCGGCCGCACCCCCTGAAAAGACCAAGGTGTGAGGTGTCTGCTGTTGATTCCAGCTTCCACCTCAGTGACAGTGCAAGCTCAGTGAACTGTTCAAGGTAAAAAAAAGATTTAAAACATTTCAGAATTTTTAAGATATTAACAATTAAATAAGTATGTGATTACATCATGACGGAGGCTACTGATTCTGCCCCCGTGACACTTGGTGGTGACGTGTGAGCTGATTCACCTGGAAAACAACTTTTACATTAAATATTTTGTTTTTGCTATCAAAAGTAAATTAACTAATAACCTGCATTATTGCAGGACACTCAGCAAAATATGGACTCTACAACATGAGGCAGGCACACGTTAATAACTCTATAACAGCACATAAGGTGAGCAACACCACATATAGTACACTGTCCTGAATTTGTTTTCTTTCTGCATCTCATTAGCCTGGCTGATCACCTGATAACTCCTGTCATCTGGTTATGACAGCATGAGGATGTCCTCACACCTGTAACCTATCAGCTCATCTGGCAGAATAGAGAGAGAAGAGACAACACCACATCTCCTGTTCCTGGAAAGCCTTCAGCCATCCTTCGATGACTGAGAACCTCCATCAGCTCTGTCTCCTGTCTGCCTACAATTATTATAATAAATATTGTGTTTGACAAGTTTTTTTGTGCTGCCAAATATCTCATATAGATTCCAGTTTTGATATTTTAATGGATATTTATAAATTACATTAATTGAATTATCACATTGCATGTTTAACTAGCTCTATTGTGATGAATTAAACTAGCACCTCACTGTTAAAAGCTCGTTTTAATTTCAAGCATGTTTAAGTATTTATGGACATGAAAAAAACAGGAAATATATAAATTGAGATTTATTTAATTAATATAACAAATAAGGGGGAAAGAGTCATTGAAAGGCACATTCTTCTGGAAGCTCCTGTTCCTGACGACACCAGCAGAGGAGACCAGCTGCAGACACCAGAGACCAGCTGCAGACACCAGAGGACCTAGAACCAAGAGAGCAGCTGTTATTAGTAAATAAATAAATCAGGGCAGTTTTAGTGAGCTGAACACATTACAGAATAATTTTCTCATGGGGTATTTTTATAACTTTATGCAGCAGACTAACTTGAGCCCAGGGCTACCGGAGAGCTGCTATCCAGCACGTTTCAGTGGATTTTCCTGCTTTAACAGGTTAGATTAACTGTTAAGCAGCTCAGCTATTTGTTGCTGATTAAAACCAGGTGTGCTGAAGCAGATAAACCTCTAAAACATGCTGAATACTAGCTCTCCAGGGCCGTGGAGACAAACCCTGCAGCTAATCTGATGCTATGGCTAATGGCTACTTACATTCAGAGGTGGTTCTGTTGGGTCGGTTCTGGGAGTTACAGGCAACTCACAAGCTCACAACAATAAATGGTAAATGGTAAATGGCCTGTATTTGATATAGCTCCTTCTAGAGTCCTGGAACCCCCCAAGGCGCTTTACAACACAATCAGTCATTCACCCATTCACACACACATTCACACACTGGTGGGGATGAGCTACGATGTAGCCACAGCTGCCCTGGGGCGCACTGACAGAGGTGAGGCTGCCGAGCACTGGCGCCACCGGTACCTCCGACCACCACCAGCAGGCAACGTGGGTTAAGTGTCTTGCCCAAGGACACAACGACAGCGACAGACTGAGCAGGTCTCGAACCTGCGACCTTCCGATTGCGAGGCGAGCACTTAACTCCTGCGCCACCGTCGTCTTCGTCACTGCCGCGGCTCCGCCCTCTCGGTCCTCCAGGCAACGCCTACTAATGTTGCATTTTTTAAAATTGATACGTGGGTGGAGAAGGACTCCGGGGCTCAATTGACCCGCTCTTTAAACTGAACAGAACCAGTGTACTGCAGGTTGTTTTGTTTTACATTTTTCAATAAAAAAACCTCTTTTTTAATCTATTACAGGTCAGCATGCACTGTGCTGCACATCTGCCTCTGTGCTGGTGAAGTTGTGGGTCTGGAGGATGAGCCTGAGGAAGATGTGTGTGGAGGAGGTCGGTGGTGCTCTGTCCTGCAGGAGGTACCAGCAGACCACCACTACTGTTAACAGGCAAGTCATTTATGTAGGAACCTCTATTAAAAACAACACTGTGGTTTTATTTGCTGAAGAGTCACAATTGTTATACCAGTGGATCCATAAACCAGCTCATTTCATATTTCTGAATACGTCTTAGAGATGTAACAGCCGTCGTCGGAGCCAGCCCAGCAGGCCCTGTAGATGGACGATGGAGTGGAAAGTGAGAGGAAGCGTCCCAAAGCTCTCTGCAGACCGTCCTGTATGATGTTCCTCTTGCCAGAAAAGTCCAGCCATGGGTCTGCTCCAGCCCTCCATCCACGCCTGGATCCTCCAGCAGCAGATCCAGCTGCACTGTTAAAGACTTCCTGCTCACTCAGTTTAAATAAATGATCCAGGAAGAGTCACTCAGGTTAATCCTGCTTTAACTGTACAAAACTGGTCCATACTGGTTTTGATATGTAAATAAGTGTAACGTATTATAAATAATCTTGTCTCCTTACCATCTTTTCATTTTCTGTTCATGTAACATGTTCAAAAACATTTGTAATAATAAAACTGGTGATAAAATCAATGATCAGAGTTATCAGTTAGTATTTGTTTTAATAAATGTGTTCAAATATCAAACAAACAGCTAATTAACATTAACATGATGACAGTAGAAGGCCTCTCTCCCAGGATGACCCAACAGGTAAAGCCTCTCCTGACCCTGGACACCTGCAGTCCTACAGAGAAAATCAGAGACCACAGGTGACAAAAAGACAAACACATTTCTACATTTATCCACATGAGAAGATAAAAATTATATTCTTCACACAAACTATTTTTACTTCATTAAAACGTGTCAGCTGTGTAAATCCCTGAATGTAAAACTATTTTTCACAGCAGAACTACTGTGGTTGTTTGTGTAAACAGCTTCACTCTTCACCTCTAAGCTTAATAAAAACGCTTCTTTGCTCCATCGTCCTTAAAACAAATGACAAGTTTAACTCGCCACACACACATACACACACACCAAAAAGGAATAACTGGGACCCGTGAAACAAACTCGTTTTTGCTGATTTCTGCCTAAAACGTAATAAAAAAAAACAAATATACAAACAAAAAATGTCTATAAACAGAACCGCTTTCAGCTTAGTTTTCTACCGCCTGCTGGGATCAAGCTAGTTTACGGTGGGTTTTTCCTATTACACATTCAAGCTAGTTTTCGGTGGGGCATGTTTTAGCCTTAAATTACATGAAAAAAACAATTTGCTGTATTATATCTTATATAAAAATCAAACCAAAAATGCCCAAACAAGTATTTTATTTTTTTTACCGCAATTTTTTTTAAACTTACATTTTAAGCTGTACTGCTCTCCCACTCCGTCCGCCACTGTTGTGAGTGTCGAGTCCAGCAACCGGCGCGCAAAGCATGCTGGGATACCCTTGCTCCTGTGAGGATCCATCAGACCCATCCTCGAAATGTGGGTGGAGCGAGGACGCATTTGAGGACGCGAGAATGAGCATTCTTGGAATTCGGACAGTACTCGTTGCTGCGCTGTGACGTCATGGACCTCAAAATGCGCTCTTACAAGCATCCTTCCTCTGGATTCGGACTCACCCCTAGTCTCTGCTGGGCTTTAACGAGTGCATCAAAGTCAGGCTGAATGTCTGAGGTGGAGATGCGAAGCACAGCTGACAAATGATCTTCAGTGCGAGAGGATCTATACCTGGATTTTGTAAACTTCATCATTGAAAATGTTTGTTCACAAATGTAGGTAGAGCCGAAGAGAACCAACATGTTCTGAGCATGTCTCCTCAGGTTTGGAAAGTTATCCTTAAGAGAAGAGTAGAAATCCAGCAGAGATCCTGACTTAAAGTGCTCTGCCAGCACTGCATCAGACTGCAGGTCAATGAGTTCCAGCTGCACATCACTGAGTGCATTATCCACACTGCAGGTAAAGGGAGAGGAAATCATATGCATTTCATCCTCGATTGTTCTGAGATCTTCAAAACGCCTTGAAAACTCACCATGTAATGCTCCTAACATGGATGAGTACCTGCTGAGGTGATCAGCTGATGTTGTGACTTTGTTCAGGGTTTGCATGTGAGTGAGAGTGTTGCTCTCCAGTTGACTTGAAAGAAACTGCAGCTTTCTCATGAAGGCCGTCATGAGGCTGTGCATTTCATGAACAAAAAGGCCCTTGCCTTGCAGTTTGGTGTTCAGTTCATTCATCAGTGCAGTCACATCAACAGCAAATGCAAAATCTGCCATCCAATCCTCATCTGAGAGCTCTGGAATGTCTTTGCCTTTCCTCTGGTAAAACTCTCGAATCTCTGCTATCAAGTCCCAAACCCTCTTCAGCACTTTCCCCAGGCTGAGCCATCGGACAGCTGTGTGGAGTCCTCCAAAAGAGCCACAAACTGTCTGTGAGTCATTGCCCACGCCCTGATGAAGTTTATTATTTTAGTAACAACATCAGTAACATGGTTGATTTTTAGCACTGACTTGCACAACACATGTTGGTGTATAATACAATGCAAAAACACCAATTTTTGATCTGCATCAATTTCTGTCACTTTATCTTGCATGCGTTTCAAAAGTCCGACATTTTTCCCTGCAAGATTTGGACAACCGTCTGTTGTGACACCTGACAGTCTCTCCCATTTCAATCCCAGTTTCCATGCGCGCATTTACCTCTGTAAAAAGATCACTCCCTGTCGTTGTCCCTTTCATCGACCACATTGCTGCCAGCTCCTCTGTGAGCTTGAAGTCCGTTATCCCCAGACAAATACGAGCAGCTGGGCTGTGTCGCAGACATCACAGCTCTCGTCTAAGGCCAATGAGAAAAAGTCAAAACTTGACACTTCACGTTGCAGCTGAAGCTCCAGGTTCCCCGCAATGTCCTCGACCCTCTTGGTCACGATTCGCCTGGACAGCGGGATTTGCTCAAATGCGCCTTTTTTTCAGGGCATATTAGTGCTGCGGAGTCCATCATGCACTCTTTGACAAACTCTCCCTCCGAAAACGGCTTGCTGTTTTTAGCTATTTTGTGGGATATCACAAAGCTGGTCGTGGTTGCTGCATCCCTGGATGTGTGAAGCTTAGTATAACAGCCTTGCTGCTTTTGCAACTTTGCTAGCAAAGCTTCGGATGTCCGTGCCCTCTCAGCATCAGACAAGTTCTTGTATTTTTCCGAGTGTTTCTTGTCATAATGCCGACTCAAATTGTAGTCCTTAAACACGGCAATCTCCTCCCCGCAAACCAAACACACGGCTTTACCTCAGACTTCAGTAAAAAAATACTTAGCAGTCCAATTTTTGTTGAAAATCCTGCATTTGGCATCTATCTTTCTTTATTTTTATTTTTTGCATTAGCGGACATTTCTGGGAGCTACAATCACCATGTCAACTGCGGGCACTTGTTGCTATACGTATTGCGCCATTGTGCACGTAAAAAACAACTACAAAATAAAAGCAAAGCAGCCTTAGTGCATGCATGAGGTAAAATGAGAAAATACATTTATTTTGTAATGTCCAATTAACCTTACGCGGGCCGGTCAAAGTCAACCAAAGGGCCGTATGTGGCCCGCGGGCCGTAAAATGCCCAGGTTTGGTGTAGAGGGAGGTGGAGTGTACAGTCTGTAAAGATGGCTCTCCCTTGCCCTGCCTCCAACATGCCTCCATCTAAAAGGCTAGGTTATCCATAGTTATCTCTGCAGTTATGCTGCTATAGGCTTAGACTGCTGGAGGACATAGTGACCACTTTCCACACTCTACTACTTTCTTCTACAATCTGCTCTTTAACTGTATTATTTTCTGCTATTTCAGCTGTTAACTTTATTTTCTCTCTAAGTGTTTTTCTCCCCAGAAGAAGCTACAACGATGTTCTGCTGAGCTGTGGTGGCCTCATGGAGGGGCCACCATCTAGCACACTGCTGCTAATTACTTAAACAGTCTCCCTCTCCTGATAATAACATTTTTGACATTGAATGTGCTACTGCTAGTTTACCCGTTTAATTATAGATTCACTAGGATAAATACAATAAAGGTTATCTCTCACCAAATAGAATATTTTCTAAGAAATCACAATGTAACCATAGAAACGCTACTTGTTATATATGTTCAGGGTTTTTCCTGCGTTCAAATTTGCATGGCGGCCACCCCCAGCTATTTTTGTGCCGCCCCAGCCTGATTTCACTCTGTCCCCAGCTATATGGATGTTATTTTAACTGCAATTGCAGGTAGCAGTCTCACGAAGAAGTGGCGCACAGAAAAATATATGATGATGGTAAAACCAAGAAAGTCTAAACTCTACAAGCGGATGAAAAGTCTCCACCATCCTGTTTATTCTGCATCCTGCAGCGCTACGGATCAGAACCACTGCAGATACGAGTCACATTACTGCTACAAGTCTGCTCCACACACAGGAGCAAGAAGTACGGCAAGCCATTGTAGTATATAGTTTTACAAACGCTTCTATCTTTGAACATAATTTAAACTGGATTATAGCCAACCCGTACATAATAGACATGCCACCATTACATTGTTAGCAGCAGAAATTAAATGTTATTACCATTTCCAACACAAATGCATGTTAAAGAAATGCATTATTGTCATGATCCGCCCCGGCCTCCCTGACTGTGTCTCTCCTGCCCTGATTAGCCTTATTGTTCTCACCTGTCCCTGATTACTCTGCCCATGTGTTCCTGATTCCCTTGTGTATTTATACCTCCCTCCTTGTTGCTGTCTTTGTCGGTTCATTGTCGTTTGTGCATGTTCGTTCGTCCTGTTGCTCCCAGTCTACGAT